AACCTGGGCTGGATTCTGTTCCTCAGTTTTATTCGTCTGTTGTTTTTTTTTTTTTTTTTTTTCGCGGCGGTCTTACTAACTTGCTTCCTCTATTTCCACTCCTTCTATCTTTCACTCCCTTTATCAGTTACTTGTGGTGGCTTTAGAGACGGGACAACGTGTCAGCGTTGTTATGCTTCTTGCCATTGCGATGTATGATTGTAAAATTAAAAGGTTGTAGTCTCAAAATCCATCTTACACGTCTTCCTGACAACTTTGCTGTCCGTAACCACTTCAATGCTAGATGGTCGGTCATTACTACGAAGGGGTTCATGCCGTAATAATGCTGATAGTGCTCGACTGCCCACAACACTGCAAGACACTCCAGCTCCGTGGCGCTATAATTTCTCTCATGCTTGTTTAACATCCTACTGGCGTACGATACTACATACTTCTTATTTTCGTCATCTTTTTGGGCTAATACTGCGCCTAACTCAACTCTAGAAGTGTCAGTATGCACAAAAAATGTTTTCGCAAAGTCGGGGTACCTTAGAACCGGTGTGGTAACTAAGTACTGTTTCAATGCCTCAAACGCGTGATTTTGCCCTGTTTTCCACTTGAATTTAACATGCTTCTTCATCAGGTCATGGAGTGGTCGTGCGATCGTCGCGAAGCCTGGAATGAATCTTCGGTAATACGACGCTAAACCTACGAACCCTCTCAACTGTCTTAAATTCTTTGGTATAGGAAAGTTCTTAACTTTATCTACCTTTCCTTCATCAGGTCGAATACCTCTCCGGCTCACGACATGTCCCAAGAAGGTGATGCTCGGGCGAAAGAAAGCGTATTTCTCGAAGTTGAGTTTCAATTTGACTTCTCTCATCTTTTGGATCACTGCACTTACATACGTCACGTGACTTTCGAAGGTCTCAGAGTAAATGTTTACATTGTCTAAATATACTACTATGAACTTTCCTATGAATTCGCTTAACAGCGTATTCATCAGTCTTTGAAACGTTGTCGGGGCATTACACAATCTGAACGGCATAACGTTGAATTCGTACGTCCCCCAGTTTGTCACAAAAGTGGTCTTCTCACGATCCCTTCCTTCATCATTACTTGCCAATATCCTGACATTAAATCAAGGGTGCTGAACCAGTTGGCCTTGGAGAAAGTCTCAATCAAATCATCCACTCGGGGCAAGGGGTAAGCATCCTTCTTAGTTACAGCATTCAGTTTGCGATAATCGACGTATAATCGTAGTCTTCCTCCTTTTTCGGTACGACCACGATCAGCGATGTCCACGGGCTTTTCGATTCCCTGATTAAACTCCTTTCCATAAGTTGCGTGACTTCTTTCTTAATAAACTTTTTTATATCTGGTGCTGCCCTATATGCATTTTGCTTAATTGGTTTAGCTTCTCCAGTATCGATACCATGTCGCACTATGTCGGTACGTCCTAACTCTTGTATGCTCTGCGCAAACGCATCATATTCTTTCGTCAATACATCTTTTCCTTGTTGTATTTGGCTTTCGGTCAATTCCTCATCCATCGTCATTTCGCTAACTTCTTTTTCTACTCCACTTCTTCGTTACTCGTCGTCGGTAATTCTTCTCTTATCATCATACCATTATCTTCTTCTGGCAATTCTTCCATCACTTCTACGAACACATCGTTATCATCATCTTCTTCTTGTTCATCCGTCTGGGCTAAGTACGCTGCGGGACCTGGTTCCTCAGATTGTACTTTATTTTCGGGATCAGAGTCACTATGCAATTCTCCAGTGTAATATCCTTCCTTTTCTTTTACCTCTTCTTTTTTGTATACGATCTCATCAAATATCTTCT